AAAGATGCCTTTTCGACTTTTGAGATCAGAATCCATGAGTACGTCAGATCTAGTTTATTTTTTCGTTATTACAGAGTCTGATGGCTAACTATATATTGTAGCTCAATCTTGGACGCTGCAATTGCAGTTACGAATGCAATTGCTCAGCTTCTCAAGGCTGCCACTATCTCCCAAAAAGAGGTAATTATACCCTGGCCACTGTTTAGGTATATAGACGGATTAACATTTTTTTCAGATTGTGGCCCAAGGTAAAGGAAGCAGTTCTCGGACTGCTTTCTACAAGCGAAACAATCGTTGGACAGAAGGGTTGATCTCCGCTGCCAAGGCAGTGGCTACCTCCACCAATATGCTTATCGAAACAGCCGATGGTGTGCTTAGTGGACGCAACAAGCTGGAGCAATTGTATGATTTTCTCTTTCGGTACAATTTACATACAGGCTAATAACGATATAGGATTGTCGTTGCCAATGATGTTGCCGCTTCAACAGCACAGCTTGTCGCAGCTTCTCGGGTTAAGGCATCTTTCATGTCTAAATCGCAAGAACGTCTGGAAACTGCCTCAAAGGCCGTGACAGGCGCTTGTAGATCACTGGTCAAACAGGTTCAAGAAATCATTGCAGCAAAGAACAATGATGAGAATGAGGCCATGGATTACTCCAAACTCAGTGGATACGAGATTAAGGTCCAAGAGATGGAACAACAGGTATGTGATTTCTACCTGAATATTTTATACTCAACATTAATCTCTTGGTTGTTTCTTTTAGGTCGAAATCAAAGAACTCGAAAACAGGTTGACTCAAGCACGTTTCAGGCTTGGGGAGATGAGGAAGCACTCATATGTTCAGGATTCAGACTAAGCCCTTGGAATGAATGGTGTGTGCTCATGCTCAGGGCCGGGGGAAATTACCGTTTTTGTGCTCTTTACTAATTGTCCAGTCATGTGGAATATCTTTTTTACTCTTCTTAAAACTATCTCTTTCAAATAATTCGGCTTCTCTGGATGATGTGAACGTGGACTGCTCCATTGTGCACTTTTTTTCTTGTCTTTATTGGCTATCAGGCTTTTATACGAATATTTATCTCAGTTATATCGTCATTTAACTAGCAATCGAGTTACCCTCTTGAATGCCCCTATATAGATTGAATTTATATCCAATAGGAAAGTCTATACAGCTGAGAGTGTCAGTGAATAATGAACAAGATTTTTGGGCCATTCAGGTTTATCCCACCATGTGCGCCATCTAAGGCTTACCTATTTTAGGTGGACATTGAAATCGTATATCATGAACAATCACTCGGTTGTCGGTTGGACGGAAGATACAAACACGCACAGTCTCCGGGCCCCATGTCTCTCAACCTTAGCCCTCGCATCGTGATGTCAAAACACAGCCTACACGTGACATGGAGACTTTCCATCTTTGCTAGCATCTACATTTACGAGGGTGCCCGGGGGTTACCACTCGGGGTCCTTTCTAAAAATTATTTCTATCTTCTAGAGCCTATGTTCCCCACGCCCGCCGGCTCTCTTGGCTTCTCTCTTGATCTTTGGCACCATTTCCCCCTTTTATCGTAATTTGACTCTATTTAATGGTCGGGGCGCCGGGTCTGGGTTGGGTTTCCCGGAAGTTTTTACCCACATATTCCTTTATATAACCTTAGCAGACACATGCACGTCCCACAAATCCGCTAAACCTAGCCACAGGGATCAATTTCAAAACCTCGAATTTCTTACGTTCTAGACTGCATACATGCCATCGGAGCATGCCATTGGAGCATGCCAAATAGTGACGCGCGGGGGGGGGGGATCTAAAGGTATCATGTTGTTTGTACTTTAGTCATGAAGGTATGAGTAGTAAATCTTGTGAAAAATACAAGGGAAACAAATGACAATAGAAGAGCTTTTCTGTAAAGGGGTTAGATTGAGTCAGGAGTGCGAGATAAAAAAAAAGATAAATGTCAACTACATCATGTACAGCGTTAGGTAATAAGTGATGGAACGCCCTGAGGTACAGTTATACCTGCAGACACCGTATGTTGGTGGCGTTTTACCTAAAACAGGTATCACTGTGTCTTAGGTCGTTCCATCACTTATTACCTACCGCTGTACATACTTCCGCGGTATAGTGTAGTGAGTGTCATCGACATGTCAAGAATGCGCCCTACTGTCAATTGTGGTTGAAATAAACGACGCCCTGGACTTTGACCCTAGGTATCCTCTGCGAGAGCCCCTGCCTGGGCCCGGCGGTCGTAAATATATATATCCCTTCAACTGAACAAAGGCCCTGAATTAGTTCCTAGGTACATTATGTAAGTACCTCCTAACTCGCGCGATCGCAGTCGAAAACTTGTGGTTCTCGATTTATCCTCGCTCGCAAGCGGGGGCAGTTAAACAGCCTCATATTACTCTGATTCTTTAGAATATTGATTTATTATTATGGGTTATAGTTGGGGGTTCCACGTGGAGTGGCCGGTCGGGTGTATTCTAAGCTTAGTTTGTTCAGGGTAGAGTACATATTAGGCAATGCTGCCGAAACTTTAACTTAAGATACATATACCTCAACGGGTATCTCGGAAGTCATTGCAACCAAATCTCGTAGAAACTACAGTAGGCCCTTCCAGTAGTAAAGCCACTGCTCCACTCATCATTAACACTAAGCCACACGCTACCATTGTGGAGCAGTGACTTTGCCACTGAAAAGGCCTACCGATATAGGAAGTCCCGTAATTTATAGTTTCTATCAGGCCAAGGGATAGTCAAAGAGTTTTGTTTCTTACACCTAGACAGATTTCCCGGGTTTCCACCGTGTAGTAGGCAAGATCGTAGAGTATATTGAGTTACATGGTTGTAGCAATTGCAGCTCTTTTCGTATTGTCTGTCTGCACTGAATTGCATACGTATAAAGTGATTTCCAAGTTGCCTAAACGGGCCGTCACTTAATGTGTATATGACCCGGAGTCGGCAGACAATATGAAAACAACTATAATTCTCCGGGGTATGAGGTACATGTAGTTTACGTATTGGCGGATGAAACCAGAGAGGAAATAGAACAGTCAAGATTTTTGAACTCCCCTGTTTTCCAATACCCAAGGCTACATGCTGTCAACATCCCGTGGGTGAAAACAGTCTCGGGCCAGCCCAGGTCCATTATACTCTACGTAACTTTGTGTGCTATGGAAGTTGAACAGCAGAATCACTACCCTAGCCTCGATACTACAGTATCGCCAAGTCTCCCTTCCTTCTTAGCCAGAAGCTTCTTTAATTTGGTTTGGAGGTTGGGTGGGAGGAGTAGGACAAAATAATTTCGTGTTTCCACAGAGTCGAGAAGAGGTTCAATATAATCGGACAGAAAGAGAAACCCTAACCCTGAAATTCCTCTGTTTAACATGCGGAAACTCACCTAACCCTGAGATTTCTCGGGAACTCACCTAACCCTAGATTACACACTCCCAATTCTTCCTACCAAAACTTCGTATATTGAACGTACTTGAGAAATCTCCGCCCCATCCCCCCAAAAATAACTTACATATCTCTTAACAAGGCGCTGCCAAGATGGCTGCCGTTGAAAACAATTCACCTCACCTCAGAGGGAGGCGAATTCTCTCCAAGGCCTGACAAAAAAACAAAAAATACTATGGCATATTGTAGGTATACGTAGTGTTCTGGACCAGTTATCCTTGGATTGCAATGAAAGAGAGAGAAACTAGATAGGGCGCGGAGTGAATCATAGGACACGGCTCGGAATATTATGCTATGCCGTCGCAATGGTTTGATCATTATTAAAGAAGTCGCTACATGAATAGATTTTATGTTACTATGTTGGGTGGGACTCTCATCAAGCCTGTCTGAAAGAGGCTAGCGGTATTACTAAGAACATGTACAAATAATCATTACCACCATTACTGAAAGAAAAAAAAAACGAGGTGAGCTCACAGGGGTATTGCGCTCACGGGGTGTGAGGATATTTGGCTCTGTTTCCATCTGCGGGACAGCTAAATTTACAAAAATAAGTAAATTCGAAATATCGCATGAAACTCGAACAATGAATCCTCGCGAGTAAACCTATGGGCTTAAAGCAAATTGGTGAACGTGGGGAAAATTCAAGAGAAAATGGCGGTATACTCATATACCGTCTTTTCTGGGACAATGGCGAATATTCTTCGATGCCGAATTAGCCAATCAAAACCAACAAAAGCTAACAAAAGCGCACCGACCCATTTGCCTTGGCTGACTATCAGCCCTATGGTTTGCTGAAAGTTTGCCATTCGTCATTGACCCAGCTTCGCCATTGTCCCAGAAAATACTATACTCGTGACTTGAGTCAATCAACAAGTCTCGTTTCCCTTCATTTCCACCACTACTTTGCTTTAAGCCCATGGGCTTTTATTCGCCAAAAATAACGGCATATCCATTTGCAAATAGATCTTAGTACTCTCCGGCGTTGTGGTAAAAAGATTCCATACCTCCGTGGTCGTCATACCCCCGTGAGCGCATGAAGGTATCATGAGGTAACTGCTGCTATCGTAAGCAGGTACTATGAACCCTTTTGGGTACATGTATTTAAGCGATCGACGGCCGCCCTCCCCCACGAACCACTTCACTTTCTTCATTATCAAATCTCGTTTGCTTCAGTAAATATAACGTTCAAGTCTCTTACTATTTTCTGAAATCTATTACTCTTCTCGAACATCATCTCTTTGAATATCATAGTCTCTTCGGATACTATTACCTCTTCATATACCTTCCTCTATTCGAATATTATCCCTTTTCAAATATATTACTCTTTTCAAATATCTCTGTTCGAACGTCATCTTCTCTTCGAACGTCACCCTCTCTTCGAATACCTTACTCTCTCAAATATCATCCTCTGTTCCAATATCTTCCTCTCTTCAAATATCTTCCTCTCTTCGAATATCTTCCTCTCTTCGAATATCTTCCTCTCTTCGAATATCTTCCTCTTCCAAAATCCTACCCCTTAAAAGTCTTATTACCTTACCTCGAAATGTCTGATTACGTTAAAAACACACCTGTTTCCGAGATCATGTTCCCGGTACGCCCTTGGGACCGCAACTTCAGGACTTTGAACGCCGAAGCTCAAATGATTGTCATAAATTTTTATCTTTCGGGGGCCGGGGATTGGAATCCCGACAACCAAAGCGAAGCATCAATTTCCAGCCGCCGAACCCAAGCTGGTAGCGAAATTGAGAATGATTCTCAAAACACCGCATCCCCATGTGGAATCTTCCCTGATGAGGGGATGGAGGCAGATGACGAAAGGGACGAGGATAATGAAATAGACGATGATGGGGATATATATGAGAATGAGTATTTCTTCACCCTCAATGAAACCGTTGACCAGATCCCCCGGGCTGGTGGTGGTGAGGAGAAAGAGGAGGAGCCGGAGCCCAGCTACTCCGAGAGCTCCAAGAGCTCCGAAGGTTCCTGGTACACCGAGCCCGAGAGCGAAGTAGATTCCGATAAAAGCTCAGATTCCGACGAAAGCTCAGATTCCGACGAAAGCTCAGATTCCGACGAAAGCTCAGATTCCGACGAAAGCTCAGATTCCGACGAAAGCTCAGATTCCGACGAAAGCTCAGATTCCGAAGAAGGTTCGGATTCCGATGAAAATTCAGATTCCGATGAAAATTCCGATTCCGATGAAAGCTTAGAACCCTATGACGAACCGGCACCACCGCCGCCATCACCATCACAATCACCATCACCGCCGCCGTCACCTAGCCCGGAACCTGTTTGTCCCTGCCCATATTACCTGCCATTCATAAGCCGCGAAGAGTGGCAGGATGTCGTGCTTTTCATCGAGGCCCGGTTCGAGACCACCACCATAGATATATACGTCAGCTATTTTAAGTACAGTTTCAGCTGTGCAAAAGAGATGTATGAGATGCTGGCACAAATTGATCTGTCGGGGCTGCCTCCGCCACTTGGGACCGAGATGTCCAAGATGGTGCAGTTGCAGACGAAGGTGAGGATGGCACTGATGGATGGTGTGGCTGTTGATGAGGAATTTGTGAAGGCGGCCTTCTTGGAGATCGATAATGCTATGGATGTAGATATCCAAGCCTGGGCCGTTAATGTCATTGAGAGCGAGGAGTCCCATCTTTCTGATGATGGTGATGTTGCGCCCGGCCTTATTGATGAAGATGAAGCTGAGACCTCCGACCCCGATTCCGATGAAGCTGAAGCTTCCGGCTCCGATTCTGATGAAGCTAAACCTTTCAATCCCGATTCTGATGAAGCTGAATTTTTCGACTCCGGTTCTGATGAAGCTGAACCTTGCGGCTTCGATTATTATGATGGGGCTGGGCCTTCTGACTCCGATTATGATGTCAGGTCCCTCGGTACTTCTGAAGAGAGTGGAAGTCTTTGCAACGATGATGTTGAGTCCTTCAACCTCGATGACGATAGTGACTCCCTCGACGACCTCAATGACACGAGTGAAGATTATGGAAGTCTAGATGTCGAGTACCCTAGCTCTGATGCTCAGAGTGATGGGAGTGAAAGCATCAACGATGATAGCGACAATGAGGAGGGTCAATATTGGCGCTATATTGGGAATGGTTACTGGATAAACCCCTATGGCGAGGCTATTTATTGGGTGTCCCCCTATGAGGATTGTGATTGTAGGGACCCGTGCCCCCATGCCGATGAAGGTTACTGGACGAGCCTCTTTGCGGGGTATGGCATCTGGGGCAACCCCTTCGAGCATACTTGTTGGATTGATTCCGAAGACCGGGATGGTTATTGGGTCGGCGCGTGGAACAGCGACGGCGATTTTGAGGGCGAATATGTCCTGTACGATGATGATTCCCAACACAGCGACACCCCGGAGTATCATTACTGGCTGAATCCCAATGACCCTCATGGTTATCTGAGGGGCGCATATAACGACAATGGTGTTTTCGAGGGCGAATATATCCGGTTTGCCGATCATTGCGCAACATGCAACCTTGCCTACGTATACGGCAGTGGCCCCGAACCTCCCGTTGGCTTCCCATATAGAGGTCCCAACAGTGGCCACGATCATGACAATGGCTCCGATGATGACAATGGCTCCGATGATGACAATGGCTCCGATGATGACAATGGCTACGATGATGACAATGGCTACGATGATACCCACGACCGCAATCGTAACGATGGCAACCAATATGACAACCATTCAGATGATGGCTTTGAATTCAACGCTGCCTACCAACCCGACAGTGACCAGGAAGCCAACGATGCAGACGACGAAGACGACAGTGACGACGAGCACAATGACAACGGAGAGTCTTCGTCCGGCCATGAAAACGGTTCTGCGAATAGACTCATCCATCAAGGCGGAAACGGGGAAGAAGCAACACCCGAGGTCGACTGGGGCGGGATTGTAGATACCGGTTCCGTCACAGTCAACGAAATCGAGTCACAGGACCCCATCACTACGAGTCGTGAGGCTTCGACATCTACATCCCACGACCCCGATTGGGACTGTTGTCGATATTGTACGATGGCACGGTATAGAGGAGTGTGTCAGCCCATGAGTGGAGCTAGAGGTATCTAGGGAGATGGAGATGGCGGATGCAGGACTTTAAGCTTTTGAATTGGATATTGTAATTGTTTTTAAATTTGTTATTGATTTATCATGTATTGCATCATATGCAAAATTGGAAATTGGATATATAGATTAGATGTCATGTTATTGAGTAGAGTAGATACATAGATGCTTTTTGTGTTTTAGACCGATAAATAAATTGTTGTGTAACTGAATACTATAGTCCGTCAGTGGTTCTTGTTCTTGTGAGCTCGGTGTGATGTGTTTTACATATATGCGTGTAGCCTCAAGCATGGTACACCCGTGCTCAACTACCGGACAAACTATCATTGGCACCGACTTGGCGTGATGAGGGAAACAATAGGATTGTAAAGAATTAACATGTCGGCATGTGAAAAAAGCGCAGAACCCGATAGCGTGCACCGAAACCCATTATTACTACTATGAGAGAGGGCTCTAGAACTGTTTAAGCACGTGTTTACCTCCTGGCACTCATAACGACCTCGCCCGAGAGCCATCCCGGCCAACACCAGCGTAAAAGACTACCGAGTGATATTTGATGATCTGACGCATAGACACCAATCCGGCGAGAGCACACGACACATCGAATCCAAAGGTTTAATTTGCAACAGCAAAGAACGTACGTATACAGACAGGAGTTACTGGCCGCGGTACGGCATGGTATGGTAGAATAAAATTCTATTACTCTAGATTCGTGCCCGAAGTTGTCCGTGGCCGGATCAGGAATTGCCATTAGCTAAGTACATAGTGTGGAAATTAGAAACAGCTAGGGGTGGGTTGTAGGTGGTGATGCGCACATGTTACATGCAGTTAGTCTTTACACATAGGGTGGTTGTGAGTCATACTAGCCGTAATTTTTTCTTCCTGTTAGGTAAGAGTCGCAACGACGTCACGTCGCCTTACCAAATACATTAGCTACATGTAATCCAATTCAGGACGTTTTTCTTCCCGGTGTTTCCGGATGAGGAAGAGCTAGACACAAAAAAAAAAAAAAAATTTGGCAAGCACACGCAGCTACATTCGACCAATGATCTCGCTTCCGGAATTTCCTGCCGGCACGGCTCCAGGTCGGTCTGGCCTCGGCGGTCCAGAAATCATTTCCCGCCGGGGCCGCCCGCCGCGGTGGTTGTGCCTGCCTGGTCTTTCCGTTTCTTTTGTGAGCTACGTGCAGGTAGGGAGGGGTGGCGACCATGAGTTGTAGACGCTTTCACGGGGCAGGGTCTATGGTCAGTCTCAAATATACGCTGGTGTGATGAATTGTACGCAGAGAGCTGGTCGACTACTTTTTTGCATTCAAAATCTGGGAATTGACCATACCTTTGCGGAGGAGTCTGTTGTGGTATTGCTTGTGGACTCAGAACCTCTGTGTGGGTCATGGGGTATGTTGTCGACCCGGTAACTGTAGAGAATATGGTGCGTCATGAGTCATCACTCGATATATTCAACATATTAACTCGGTGACAATGGCGGCGAAATGGCGGCGAAACAGGGTGCTGGGGGGTGGGCTATGCGTGTGAGATCGAGATTACTACCAGCGGAAATCTCCAAGGCTGCTTATATTATATAGTGTGAGGCATTATTGTAATCGATTATTCTGATTATTTACAGGATGATATTTCAGGCCTTAGAAACCGAATTTTCCCCCCAAAATTGGCCCTTTCTTTAAGATCATTGGAAGAAAGATGGTTATTTCTGCTGTCATTTTCCTGCTTTCACTGTCTTTCTATACTCATGATTTAATCGATTTATTACGAAAGACTAGTCATGATTATCACCCTAACCGAGTCTAATCAAATTAAATACTCGATTTTTACACTCGATTATAGCCGACTCATGCCGCACACTACTTATATATAATTTTTAGTCGGGGATCAAGCTTCCACAGCGCTCCACCTCTAAATGCGCTGTTCCACATACCAGAATCTACAAGCAAGCACACGACATTATTAAACTCCACTAATATACAGTCCAATCCATCAAACTTTTATATCTAAAAAAACAAAATCTTCAACCCCTCCTCAAACCGCTTCTTCACCTTCTCATGCCCAAACAGCTCCATAACGCCCTCCTGCACCTCGCGGATCCCAAACACGCCAAACCCCTTCTTGTCCACATAACTCGCATCCACCACGATCCACCGCAGCTCGTCCAGCTTCAGCACCTCTTCTTTGAGCACTTCGAGGATTCGAGAAGGTGTGCCGACCGCGATTCCAATCCTACCACCACCTCGCTGTCAGCTATAGCCTCCTCTCTCTGCGCGCGGGGGAAAGGAAAGGAAAGGGAGGGGAGGGAGGGAGGGACGAGGCACTCACCGGTTGTTCTTACACACCTCCACACTCTCCGCCAGCTTAATATGCTTCGCAAACAGCTTCGCCACCATCGCATCCTTACTCTGATACTTCCTCAGCGCACTAGCCACCCTCGACGCCCTCAGCGCCGCCGCCGTCACAACCAGCGTATGCGGCGCGCCGTGCGCCTCCGCCGCCTGGTCCAGCCTGAACTTCTTCGCGCCGGCAACTCGACAACATTTTTCGAGGTAGTTGGGCAGGTTCGCCAGCGACCGCTGCGACTGCCAGTGCGTCGTGTCGCCGAAGTGGGCGGCGGGGATGTGTGCGTCGTGCAGCTCGACGGCGCTGAGCGTGGGGTGCCAGTGCTTGTGGCGCGAGATGAGGTGGTCGGCGAGGAGCGGGGGGTCCATGTGGGCGATTGTGGGGTCGATGGAGCCGTCGTCGGGGGTGGTGGTGATGGGGGTGGATTTGGGGGCGGGTTTGGCCTTTTTGGAGGGGCGGGAGGTGGGGGTGGTGGTGGAGGAGGTGGCGGTGGTGGTGGCAGCGGCGGCTTTATTGGCTTTTTCTTTCTCGCGCTTGCGTTTTCGCTTTGAGAGAGCGTCGGTGGCGGGTGCGGGGGCGGTGGCTTCGACGCGGACGTCGGCGCCGTCGAAGTCGTCGTCCATTGAGGTTTTGGGGGTGGAGATGTTCGAGATATTCGAGATATTCGAGATCTTGATGTTGGGTGAAGCTCTGCTGCTGCTGGGATCTTTTTTTTCGGTGTTGCGCAGACTGCGCCGGGTGGGGTGGGCAGGGTAACACGCACCCGGGCTGTTGGGTTCAACCGGATGCGGGGCGTCACGTGCACGCCGCGTCCGGTGCAGGACGGACAAGGAATACGCGACGGTGCGATAATTGACGGCCGGCAACACCTCAACGCCTCAACGCCTCAACACCACAGACATCCGCACAAACACCGATATCAGCCATCCCCCATCCCCCATCCCCCACCACCACCACCAGCTATCTACCCCAAGACTCAAGGGCGAGAACACAGCACGCAATGGGACTCCGCAGGACTCCCCCCCCCGGCATGGCAGCTCCCCCGCCGCCGCCAACAAACTACATGACCGAGTTCCCCGAGGAGGCACAAGTGCAAGTAGAAGCTACGCCGACCGCCGCACCTGCAGAAGAAGCGTCAGCATCAGAGGCATCGCAGGTGTACACGACAAGCCAGGTGCAGAGTAGCTCTCAGATCACAGGCACACCGGTGAATGCGGAAAGTGCAGACATCCCTGCTGCGAGCACGCCGCCTGCAATTGCGAGCAGTGCACCAGGCGGGAGTAGTACACGTAGTGCTGCTGGCACGCCGACGCCGACACCGACACCGGCGCCGAAGCCTGTGGGGAGGTCGCCGGTGGTCAAGAGTGCGCCTGTATCTGCGACCCCTACGCCCCCGGCCGCGGCATCACCGCAACGAGAGCCAGAGGCAGCACCACAACCACAGGCGACGCCGGCAGCCCCCCCCACCGCAACTACATCCCCCCAATTCACCCCACAACGAAACCTTCTCACCCTTGCCGCCGGCCTCAACCGCCCCCCCACCACACCGCACCACCTGCGCCCCCACCCCTCCACCCGCCGCACCCCCGGCGCCCACCGCCTCGCCCCCAAACTGACCGCGCGCTCCCCACATGCCATCCGCGCGTTCACGCGCCGCGCCGCGACCCCCTCGCGCCGAAAGTCCGGCCGCTACAACGCCCCGGCCCGTGAGTCCCCGCGCGACTGGCTGCTGAAGCTTAGTGGCATCCTGGCGCCAACGACGGCGCCGTTCGTGCCCACGCCGGTGCAGACGCCGCGCGTGCAGGAGGAGGAGATGATGTATTTCTCGGACCCGGGCGAGGAGGAGGAGCGGCCGCGGACGGAGGTCAATTTTTATGACGATGGGGAGGAGGAATGGGAGGTGCTGGAGAGGCCCGAGGCGAGGAGCGTGGAGAGGGGAAGGCGCGCGGTGAGTGAGCAGCCGTGGGGGGGGAGGAGCAGCTTTGGGCTTACGTGGGATGATCGGTTTGCGGATCTGGATGCGCTAAGGGAGCAGGGGGGGGAGGAGGAGGCGGGGGAGACGACGGTAGCGGATGTGAGTATGGGCGTGGGGGAGGTCACGGTGGGGGGCATCAGTGTGGGCGAGGAGTCGGTGAGGATGGGCTTTGTGCCCGAGGAGGAGGACGAGGAGGGCGATGTCACGATGGGCATGGGGGGGGAGGAGCTGGCGTTCGATGAGGGGGAATCCTTCTTCCTCCCCATGCCCACCGAGCCCGAAGGCTCTCCCGCGCCTGCGCCCGCTCACGACTCCGACTCCGAATCCGACAGCGGTGCCCCCCTCGAGTACTCCCCCGGCCCCGACGCCGACCTCGACTCCGACAACGACGACCCCACCGCTACCACCAACCTCGCAGCAGCATCCACCGCCCCAAAAACACAAAAGCCGAAACGGAAGCAACACCCGCTCTCGCGCCACGGCCACCCGCTGCCGCCCTTCCCGCGCGCAACGATCAAGAAGATGGCGCAGACGTTCGCCGGCGGCGCGTCGATTGGCAACGAGGCCTTGGAGGCGCTGGTGAAGGCGTCGGATGCGTTTTGGGAGCAGGTGGCGGGAGACCTGGCGGCGTATGCGGGGCATGCGGGGAGGAAGACGATCGAGGAGGGGGATGTGGTGGTGTTGATGGGGAGGTGAGTTGACTCTTTTTCTGAGATGGGGGGTGAGGTGGGTGAAGAGGGGGTATGGGTGAAGGGTGGCTAATTGGGGTGCGGTGACAGGCAGAGACAGATTACGGAGGGGTCGACGCTGTTCTCGTTGGCGCAGAGGCATCTGCCGAGGGAGCTGCTGCAGCAGGTGAGGATGCCGGTGGTGAAGAGTGCGAGGGGCGGGAAGAGGAAGGGGAAGGTGGAGGGGAAGGGGAAGGCAAAGGCCGTAGAAGTGGAAACTGAGGCCGAGGAGAGCGGGGAGACCTAGTCAGGCAGGCAGGCAGTAAGTAGCAGCAATTAACAAGGCTTTCATTTCTTTTGCTTTTATTAGGAGTTTTCTTGTTCTACTTTTTCTACTTTTATTTTTTCTTCTTACTTCTCGTCAATAGTAGCTAGCTGTAATTTTATATAGGAATGGATGGGTGTTGTAAATGTACAATAGGAACGAACGAACAATCAGCAAGAACAATAAGGAGCCGGCCTTTTCACGGCTTTCTAGTCACTGTGCTATACTGTACTGTACTGGTGCTGCTCTTCTACGCCCACTCGCCCGACTGCCGCACGCGCTTGGTGATGTCTGGCGGCGGGCGCTTGACGAGGATGTAGAACATGACCGATGTGGCGAGCGCGAGGCCATACCTTTCGCAAGTCAGAGTCTCTGTCTGATATGGCCCAATAGGAAGAAGAATTGGGGAGAGGGGGCGGCTCACCAGGTGAAGATGTACTGCATGTGGTTGTTCCTGATGTTGACCTCCGCGGCCCTCGCAATCGGGATCCCCTTCACGGCGTGGTCCATGGCCACAATATAATCCGGATCTGCCCACCACACACACACCCGTCAACACTGCCCTCTTCTCTTCCTCTCCTCTCTTCTCACATCCCCCTTCACATCCACCCTCTCCCCCCGCAGCAGCAGCAGCATCACTCACCCGTCGTCTCCTCCACCCACACCTCCTGCGCCCCCACCAACCTCGCCATCCCCGCCACATCCGGAAAATAGAACTCCCCCCGCTCCGGCGCATTCGGCGGCGTAAACATATTCCTCTTCCACGGCATCCTCATCAGCCCGAGCACCTGCACCACCCCTCTCGGCAGGGCCTCCGGCGCCCTACTCTTGTGCTCCTTCTTCTCCTTGGCAATCCACCCGCGGTTCACCAGTATCGTCGACCCGTTCTCGCGCTCCAGCGGCGTGACGACCAGATACCCGTTCTCGCCCTCGCGCACGCGCGGGCCCAGCAGCATCTCCTGGTCGTGCCGGAAGCGGCCGCTGGCGAGCACGCGCCGGTAGTCGAATTCGGGGATGAGGGACGTGTTGATGTGCGGTGGGAGGGGCAGGGGGTCGCGGAGGAGCCGGTCGGTGTAGGTGGTTATGAGCTTGGTTTTCCACTCGAGGCGTTGCAGCTGCCAGGTGCCGAGGGCGAAGGCGGTGATGGGGATGGCGGCGAGGATAAGCAGGCCTGGGCCGTGCTTTTTGCGACCGCTGCGGATGAGCGTGGGGGGTTGGTCGAGGATGGAGGTGAAGTTGGGGTCGTCGGCGGGGGAGTGCGCGTGGCGGCGGGGGAGGAGGGGTGGGTGACGGGGGCGGATGGTGGGGCGGAGGAGAGTGAAGGGGCGGAGGAGAGTGAAGGGGCGGCAGCTCATGGTCGGTCAATTGGTGGAATAGTGATAGGAGTCGATGTTGTGGATTTGTTGGTTGTAGCTTTTTGATATCGCGGCTCCCAGGTCTCGATACCGCTGTGCAGGGCCGTACATGTCGGACCTCCCTCTCCCCCACCGCAATGAAGTCACCGCCAAGCCTGTGGCCCAGGCCATCCATGCACGCATGCAGCCCACCACAACCTACAAGTAGTTTCCCACGCCCTCTCTTCCCCCCAGCTCCCACAACATCACCACCATGTCCGACACTCCCACCACCACCACAGCTCCCGACGACGCCGCCCCCCTCTTCTTCACGGGCCCCATCGAGGCCGCCGTCGCAACGTCAATCACCCAGGGCCTCCCGCTCGCTTGCTTCATAGCCGGTAAGCGCGCTGATACGCGTCCCCTTACCCCACGTGCACGATCGTGCGTTTCGTCCACTGACAGCCAGCTCCACAGACGATGGCGCGGCGAGCTCGACATGGCAGGACGAGTACATGCAGGACGAGGAGGTATAAATCTCTCCCTACCTACATCCAGCTGCGGGAAGAAAAGGGGGCGGTTGAGCTGACTAGTGTTCTGTGATGTAGGTGCTGCCGTTGCTGCGCAGCCGGTGCGTGCTGCTGAAGCTGCAGGCGGGGTCGGTGGAGGCGGGTTTCCTGGCGGCGTTTTGCCCGATACAGGCGGTGCCGTATCTGGTTGTGGTCAAGTATGTGCAGTCCTCTGGTGTCCGGCGTGGGGAGAGGGAGGGAGGAGGTGCGCTAGATGTAGCTAATGCTTGGGGTGTGTAGGAATGGAGCGATGGTGGCCAATGTTGCGGCTGGAGTGACACGGGACGAGTTTATGGCCGGGATCAAGGCAGCTCTGACGGAGACTGAGACCCCCGAAGCTGTTCCTGCCGCCGCCGCCGCCGCCGCCGCCGCTGCTGCTCCAGCCCCAGCCCCAGTTCCAGTTAACTCTCCGCAGTCCGCTGCTACCGCTGCCGCACCCACGACCGTAGCTCCCCCACAACCGTCCACTTCCCCCGCGCCACCCTCCACCTCCTCCTCCTCCGCCCGCCGCGACTCGACCACACCCGCTGCTGCTGCCCGCCGCGGCTCCACAACCCCCACCCCCAGCTCCTCCTCCCGCCGCGAATCCTCCGCCGGCCACCTCGCCTACCTCGAGCAGCAGCGCAAGCGCCAGCTCGCCGCCGCCGAAGACCGCAAACGCGTCCTGCAGCTCCTCGAAAACGACAAAATCGAGCGCCGCCAACGCGCCTCCACCACCACCAGCACCGCACCCACACCCCCCGTCTCCACCAGCACACCACCACCCCCGCGCTCCACCCCGTCAGAAACAGCACTCTCCTTCCGCCTCCTCGACGGCTCGTCCCTCAAAAGTCGCTTCCCCTCCACCGCAACCCTGGCCACGGATGTCAGGACGTGGCTCGACGCACATCGGACGGACAACAGCGACCACCCCTACAGCTTCTTACAGATCCTGGCGCCATCACCGAATAAGCAGCTCTCGCTCAGCGACGAGGGCAGCACTCTCCTCGAGCTTGGCCTCGCGCCCACGGCAACGCTGGTCCTGGTCCCCGCGCAGAGCTATGTCAGCGCGTACAACGGCGGCGGGGCCAGCAGCGAGGTGGGCATTCTCGGGAGGGCGTATGGTCTGATCTACGGCGCTGTTGCGACGGTGCTGGGGGTTGGGTATCCGGCGCGTGCGCCGGTGGTGGCGGCTGCGCCGGCGGCGGCGGAGAGAGGGGGGGAGAGGGAGAGGGAGAGGGAGGGGGCGACGTTGGGGCGGGCGGGGAGGAGTGAGGTGAGGGAGGGGCCGGGCGGGAGTGTTAGTCGCGCGAGTAGTGCGAATGGCAGGATTCGGACGCTGTATGATGCGCCGGAGGGGGAGGGGGGGAAGGAGGAGGTGGGGAGGAAGTATTATAATGGGAATCAGGTATGATATAATGATGTTTTTTTTTTTGTTTTTTTAGTTGTTGTGCACTTGTGAGAGCTTGTGCTGATGGGTGCTGGGCGGTGGTGGTAGCTGGATTTTGAGCCGAAGAGAGATGAGAAGGGGAAGGAGAGGAAGGAGTAGGGAGAGATGGGAGTTTCATTTTCGTTTTTTCGCTTTCTTTTTGGACCGATATTACATGCACTGTGGGTTTCTTCTTCCTATTTTTTCTACTCTACCTTTTCATCATGTGTGCTAGATATTTACCTAAATAGCCATCATACTACTGACTGGCTGAATAAAGGCTAGATATCTAGATGACAGATGATCTGGTGTGTGTGTCCTCGTTTTCTCTCTTGTTTCCTTGTCTCGTTGTCTCGTTGTCTCATTGTCTCTGTGCTTGCGTTTTCTTTTCTTTTCTTTATAAAAAAAATGCGAACGTTACTTTTGCTTTGATCTACATATGCAGGCTATCGATCATTAGCCCGGTCCGGGTATCTTGAGGTGACATATGTAGCAACTATCTAAAGGGTAGATTATATGTGAGAGCCAATTCCACTATTACTAGTAGGATAAGTACATGTAAGTAGTGTATGTTGAAGGTATGGCGGATCTACTCATGATAGAGAGTTCACGTGAGCAGGAGTACATTGTCCCACTTTTACAGCAGTTTTTCATAATACTATGCCCAGCCGAACAGCATAACACATAGAACGATTCTTGCAAAGTTAAGCACGATTACCCCATTAGTCAACTCGAGATATCCGTTTAGGTATCTCAATTTAAACTTTCAGCAGGACTGCCTAATGAAGCTATGGGAATTACCTAGAGAGGTAATAGCCCGATGCTCCCCTGGGCCTAATATTATGCAAACCGCTGTAAAAATACCATTGGTTGGGGACCAGTCATGGCGCAGAAATATCCCCACTAGTACTATCTTGGTCGCCGCATTGAGTATGTTTGCTGTGGTGGAGCATATACTCCCGTTCACCTTCTTTGAGTAGATCTGCTATTTATATAAATCCCATTGGGAATAGGGTTGTCCACACACTCGGGGCAGGCAAGAAGAACCTGAAAATGACTTTTTATGGTAACGACCTCTGATTCGCGGCTGACGAAAAGCTACACCAAATTGAGCCCTTGCATTTTCAGACACTTTTGGGGGTTTCGAGAGTCCCTGGCAGCTTGTTGGGTGATCCCGCATCGGGGGTGGGTATAGTAGCAGTGGCGTGCCGAAAAAAAAGTCGGGACTGGAGCTCAAGATCCGGAAAAATCGGTGTGGATGGTCCACAATGGTGTCATCTCGTGCTCACCAGCACACCGCTACTCATATTCTATTGACCAGAAATAATCCAGCTATAATCCTTTCCTCGGGAGTGCGCCAAAAACAAAAGGTTTGTAGATATATCCGCGGTGATGCTGTTCTTCGGCGATGTTCCATCCATCTCTTGCTGGCCACTATGAATTGCTATTCTTCGGCGATGTTCCGTCCCCGCGTCATAAAGGCTCACCGCGTTACCATCGAGTGACGACTCATGAGCCATGAACACTAGACTAGTGAAAAGCCGCCTAACCTACAATGCAAAATTCTTCACCCCAACCCCTCTGGGCTAAGCAAAAAGTAAATTGCGCCCAAGACTCAAGACCTCACAACTCGAAGTTAGGGCTACGCTAGAAAAACGTTCCGATTCCCAATTGTCCCAGGGCATCGGCTCCCATGACCAGAAACAAAAAATATGGCCTGTAAAAAGCTTGACCCCACATCGTACGCGAAGTCACGCACGCACTTATCGATGCAGGGATTACGCCATGCATGTTCCTTCTTTTTCCCTGCAGTGTGCACCACGCGAGAAGCGAGGCTTTTGACATCACCTGGATGGGGAATGGCTTGGTGCCGGGTTTCAGAGCGGATAGGAAAAAAAGTGGTAGGGCAGCAGGTGAGGGTGGTGGGTGGGTTGCCGCAGACAGGGCCCTACCCGTGGTGATAGGTATTTAACTCCCACCTTGCCTGTCCACCGCCTCCACTACCTCCTCCCCCTCCCGCCCCGCCTGTTTGGAAGAATTTTCCTCTCACTCTCTACCAATCCCCCAGCGACGAACTTTTTTCGAACTTTGATTATTTGGTATATTCGACAAGATGGGGAGCCCTTCAGAGCCTGTATCGCAGGTGCTGATTTATCTTACCTTTGCGGCATTTCTGTAAGTATCGTGATGCTTCGCTACTGCCCAGAGAAAGATTTGTGCGCTGATGTTTGGCTGTGAAAAAGCTTCATGGGTTTGTTCCTGGCATGGAAATATCGAAAACAGACCAAGATGGATTTCATCCATTCAGGCAGAACTCAAACGGGTGCGTGTGCAGTAATGAAACTTTTCGCAAACTCCTACTTTTTCTTTGGAGCGCAGTTTATGAGAGAGCTTTCAACTAATTATCAAAAAATTTGCAGCAATTCCCGTCGCACTCAATTTTGTCGCCTCTGGTGAGTGCAGCTATCAATCGAGGTTGATGGGTTGCGGCAACATTAGAGTTTCTTGAAAACTCCACACGCCCCAGTTCAGCTCGCAAAAGCTATCATGAATACATGTAGCAAGCAGGTTCGTATGAAGAAAAATACAATGCTTGTTTCGCCCTCCCGCCCGCTCCGTAAGGAAAAGGTAGGAGGGCGAATTTGCGTGGCTTCACTACGGGTGCTTGGTCGTGTGGCCTCGATCCGTGGGATCCAACTCTTCTACTCCTATAGAGATTTTGGAAGAGAGATCCTGCGGCGGGGTCAGATGATTCAGGCTGAGAATGAACCGTTTGCACTCGAACAAGTTAATACTTGCGTGGGAAACGTGTTGCCGCTTCCGGGATCCTTAGCTGCTAGAGAACGGGGGATATTTGGTGGAAAGCTTCTTCATCTAGATCTCCCGATTCTCTGGCACCTAGGATCCGCCTCTCATTCCCCTATTCCCCCGCTTTTGCTGTAGTACTGACTTTGTGTTACAGCACTTGGATCGTCAATTCTGGTTTCGTACCCTGAAATCGCGACAATCGCTGGTCTTCAAGGAGCCATCACTTATGCTGCGTGCTCTGCGCTCCCTCTCATGGGATTCGCTATCTTGGCTCCTATAATCCGTAGGAGGTCTCCTGACGGCTTTATTCTCACTATGTGGGTTAAGGATCGGTTTGGAACTATTGCTAGTCTGTACTTGAGTTTCTTGACTGTTGCTACAATGTTCCTGTACATGGTTGCCGAGCTCTCCTCGATCCAACAGGTCTTGGGCTCTTTGACTGGACTCGATCCATTGCCAATTATGATCGTTGAAGTTGCTATTACTTCGATCTATACCTCTCTCGGTGGTTTCCGGATCTCCTTCATTACAGATAACGTCCAGGGTGCCATCATGGGTATGCTCATTATCATCTGTGCTATTGCCATTGGAACCTCTGTCTCCATCGATAGAACTGCGATCGGCCCCTCTGGACTTACACAGGACTCTGAGCTTGGATACCAGCTCATTTACATCCTCTTGGTCGCTATTATTACAAACGATATGTTCCTCTCCGGTTTCTGGATGCGTGCCTTTGCGTCTAAGACTGACAAGGACCTTTGGATTGGTGTTTCAATCGCTACAGTGGTTGTTTTTGTTATCCTGTTGCTTATCGCCTCAACCGGTCTCATCGCCGCTTGGTCAGGTGTCTGGACCCCAGGTGAATACGGAGGTCTTGCTTTCTTCCTTTTGGTTGAAAAACTTCCCGCCTGGGTTGTTGGATTTGTCATTATCATGGTGTGCTGTCTTTCCTGCGCAGGTAAGCTGCTTCCCCTCCTAGTTCCTGTTTGATAAATCATTGACACCTATGATTAGTATTCGACTCTCTTCAGTCGGCAATGGTTTCTACAATCTCAAACGACATGTTCCGCAACAAACTGCCGTTGATCTACGTCCGTGTTATCACGATCATAATCATCATTCCCACAATTGTCATCGCGCTCAAATCGCCAAGTATCCTGCGTATCTTCCTCATCAGTGACATATTCTCTGCCGCATGTATCCCGGCTTTCTTGCTCGGGTTGTTCCCCAGCTTGTACTTTGTCAACGGGTTCGACGCTGTTATCGGCGGCTTTGGCGGTATCCTGAGTGTCTGGATCTTTGGCACCATCTACTACGGAAACGCCTATGATGGCGCGCAGCTCCTCATCTTGGTGAACGGGCTGTATGCCAACGACTGGAGTGTTTTCGGTATGCCCAAGACTCCCTTCCAGTCGTATAAGACATTTTTTGCTAATCTTAGTTGCAGGAACATTCGTTGCCGCTCCTGTCGGATCGATCGTATTCCTCGCTCTCTCGGTGGTAGTGAGGACTTCTGCGACATGGGTGTTCTGCAAAACCACCGGAAGACACTTTGGGTGCTTCGATAAACCCCTCCCACCGCCGGTGGTATTCGATGAAAGGGTGAGAGACGACGATAGCACCACCGCGGATGCGGAGAGGGGCGGGTTCAAGCATGCACCAGAGAGGGTTACTGCCATGTAGTGTGTGTGACTAGTAATATTAATGTATAGGGACTGGTGCGGGTAGATAGGTTATGCGCCGCTTTTGAGTAAATAGGATTTCTTATTTTTTTTTGTCTTTCTTTTCATGTGTCATCGGATACACTGTGTGGTTGTGAAACCGCGCTTATGCTTCTGTTAGTAATGTCGGGAATGAAAACGATTAGTATGTGTTTGTGGCATAGCATTCGAGCAGCGGTGTCTTAAACACGAGGTGCAGTTATGATCCGTGGATTTAGTGCCGTAACGTGTTTTTAGTTGCCGCCCATCATGGTCATAAAATCTGCTATCAGCTCAAGAAGCTGACCGCCGAAAAAGAGTCAAACAGCAGCACCACCCTCTCCGCATTAGTGAGAACATCGAGGCCTTAATCATGAAATCTCACTCGAAGGCTGATCGACTGTAGGATAGAGGAAAATTGAAACGAGAGGAGTTGATGAGCTCTCGAAGGAAAGCTTGAAGAAGAATAATGAGATGTAGAAGAGGGGTGGAGGGTGTATGGGGAAAGAGGAACTCAACATTCCCAAACAGAGGCCGAGGGTGGTGGGGTAAAAGGGAATGGGGATCCAAGAGGTAGAGATAAGTGGGATTAGACACTCACAAACTTTCAATTCTGATAGGTATGGTGTTGGTCGTAGGGATGCTGATGGAGAGCGAAGAATATTGAGAGGAAGCTAGGCGCGTTGATGTTTTTGTTGATGTTGAAAGTGGGGATCCAGGAGTGACGAGGGAGAAGGGAATGTTGCGGGATCTTGACGGCGATTTTCTTTGTGCGCAGGCTAGTACTAAGCGCAGTACGTGCATGTAGCAAACCGGCGCTGGGCACGGGATCAGGGCCGGGGCTTTTGGCTAATCGGAGGGGGGCTCTCATTTGGGAGAATCTCTTCTGCGCACCAGTTGTCTGCTTGTCCCTGAATCAATATCATAAAAATCAAAGACTTGACAAATCTATGATTTTCCGAGGGCCACGGCCATATTGCAGTCGTTGGGAGGTTTGTTGTATCTTGAATCGCTGGTGTGAGTACCGAGTGATTTTCTGTGAGTAAGTTTACTCCGACTGGTTTGTGTATCGATGCTCGAGGTCATTAGACCCCTGAGGCGCAGAGACAGATTCTCGTTTTATTTGGTATTTGATAGATTCTTATGCTCTACTAAGGTCTTGTTGTAGATTGTAAATCTAGCTGCTATGTTTGTTAGGAATTTCCGCATATATATGAGGATGCTGCATGCACGTTACATGCAAACCTGGCGCCGGCCCTCGACTGTTGATAATTACATGTAATGCCTTGTGATAAGGGTACAGGGAGCTGAAAAGAGTCATCTCCCAGTCTTAGACGTAAGCTGAAGGGGTCTATCCTGAGAATCTTAGGTACTATTATGACTTGAAGGGGTCACGCCGGTCATAGAAATATTCTCTCCGGCATCACCTCGAATTGAGGATTTATAACTCTAATTTGAGGATACATGTAGCCATGTGCAGTTCCAAGTTTGCTGTCCCTTCCTTGTGTTATGATGTACTTACGTCATGTCTATTCGACCTCATGGTATCTACATGCCATGAACTTTCTCATCCGTGGCCTGAGAAAACTGCAGGGTAAATGCAGGAACTGTGGCGCTGACGTTTAAATACAAATACATATTCTACACGGAGGTAAGACCTATAATTAAGGTTTGTGGAAACATGACTTAATAGGCTATAGTATGTGCATGATCGACATTTTGGAAAGATGTATTCTAGATGGCCCCGTCCAGTGAAAATCCAGGTGTGTGGAGTTGCTGCATATATGATTTCTCAAATGGTGCTGCAATTAGGGGTTCCAGTTTAACCCGGTACGTATACGCACAGGTGAACGCTGCAGCTACATGTAGATGTAGAGTAGTACTGAATTAGATCCTGTGCGGTTGGTTCCGTGCATAAGTGTAGCCTCCATTAATTGACACAAGATGTTCGTTTGAGGGAAAATCAGTCGGGGGGTTTGGGGCAGGACTTCTAGCTTAGGTTCGCATGTTAGTGGGGTTGTCAACCACAACCCTGTGAAACATCAAATTGGTGCTGCCAGGGTATTAAAAAGCATATCACCATGCCCAGCAACGTCGGAAGTGCGCTCGCAGAGCTTCTAGCCTCGTACCATGACTTCAATTCGTCCTGGGTCGAAAGTGTAGATGGTGCCCCGACATCGCTACAATTTGCTCGATATGCAGCAAGGAACCAGCCGGTTGTGTTCCGGGGTGCAATCGCAAACTGGGAAGCCCTGAAGAAGTGGAAGGTGGGGTATCTGAAACAGAAAATGGAGGGGAGAGATGTTAATGTCGCCATGACGCCATTCGGGTGAGTCCATCGGAGAATTAGTCTGTGGCTGTGGCTGACTGGCCGTTAGGAATGCCGACTCGGTGGTCTCTGAGAATGGGGTGGACTACTTTGTGAAGCCGCACTCATTCCAGGAGCCTTTCGCCGAGTTCGTGGAGTACCTGCGGGCTCCGGTGGAGGAGAGCGCAGCGGTAAAATATGCTCAATCCCGTGAGTTCCATGTAAACACTTTTTTTTTTTTTTTTACAGAATTTGGCTCTAAACAGCGTGTAGAAGATGATAATCTCCATGGAGAGTTCCTACCGCTCCAGTCTGATATCCCGGCCGATGTGGGCTTTGCGACTGAGTTCTTTGAGCGCGAGCCCGATGCTGCAAATGTTTGGATCGGTAACGACCGCTCGGTATCTGCACTACATAAAGATAATTATGAGAACCTATACTGTCAGGTGTCTGGGAAGAAGAATTTTGTGATTCTTTCCCCGCTTGAAGTTGCGTGTGTAGAGGAACGAACGTTGCCTGCAGCGACGTATGTACCCGATGCAGAGGGTAGCTGGAGAATAGTGCCCGATGAACCGGAAGATCATGTTCAAGGATGGGCAACAGTTGACCCCGATAGCCCTTTGGAGAGAACGGGAGTGTTCTGGAAGTATTCTAGACCACTCAGAGTGACATTGGAGCCTGGAGATATGCTTTACCTTCCAGCTATGTGGTATCATAAAGTCTCACAGGAATGTGATGAGGAGGGTATTTGCTGCGCCGTCAATTACTGGTAAGCAGAATGATTTAAACCTATGACATTACTAAAACCAGTACTAATTTGTGATCCATGAAGGTATGATATGGATTTTTCTGGACCATTCTATTCAACTATTGGGTTTGTGCGGAATATGGTCCCCATCATACAAAACGAGATCAAGGAACTTGAAAACGATGAGAGCGAGTTCAAGGAGGGTGAGGCCGTTAATAGGACGGATTGATTAACCACGCATGTACTACTGGAAATGATTAGACGCATGTTTTTCCTTTATCAGTTTTTCGTTTCCTATAAAGCTCTTTTAAGTTGTTAAAGACACCCTGTTTCCTGTCTAATTCCTAGATATTCCTTTCATCGTGGGACAGCAAAGATTAGTAGTTGATACCTTTACGAACGGGATGCCATGATCTTGGTGCATAGGTTCTCACTCAGCCCTACAGGGATGGGAATGATTTCCGGTGGCCGTATCAGCCAAGGTTCGAAGCTAATGTAATGCCGGCATGCCATCAATTGATAAACAAAGAACCGGCAAGCCGATTCGCATGATGTATGAGTTTAAATGTGCCACGGGCTCTCGCCCCTTTTAAAAATAGTTCAATGATCTTTGGCACCAAATTAAACCCAACCTATAGATAAGTCTTCACCGAGTGGAATCTCTCTGCTGATGGCCACTCAGTCTCTCAACCTTCTCTCTGGCGTTTTCTCAGCAGTGAATCTGCTTCTTGCCACGCGACGTGCGATTGATCCCCGACCCTGCATCTAGCAGTCGCAGCAGCCGACGGATCCCAGTACATACATCCCCTCCTCATTTTAGCCGAGCCTCTCTGGACCAACAGGTACTAAGCAAAGGGCAGCCGGTCTTCACAGACCATCTCTATCGGGCCACTTCCCTGCCTACCCTTTCTCGGCCAGTCTATTCGCACAGGCTCACTCACTCGCCCATTCCACAATCCTCCAGCCACACGGCTTCTGCCTCTCTCGCTCCTCTCCCCCCAGCACTTTTCGCTCCTCCTCTGTGTGAACCCATCCCATCCATCCCATCCCGTCTCATCCCATCTAGGTTTATCCACCCTAGGCACTCCCCCGTGTCCACAGAACCTGTTCTGTTTCTGTTGCCCTGTGTTGCCTGTTGCTGCTGATACCTACATACATAACATACATACATTACATACATTACATACCTACTGTTGTGCCCTGCTGCTGCTGTCTTCGTCTGTGTCTTGCTTGACTCGCTGTAAGTACTGTATTGACTCTGTTGTCCCTTTCTGATTTTCCGGCCCTCCCCTTCTCTACGTCTTCTCTGCTCCCTTCTATTCTGTCACTTGTATTCCTTCACACATCCCCGTGTTCGGCATCACATCAGAATAGAAGTCTTCACACACCAAGCTCCTTCTGCTACACTTCTCACCGTAACGCCACTTCTGCCACCCCTCAGCGTTCCTGCCATAATCAGAGAGGTCAGCGCTTAACTCTTCTAAAAGCTCCCCCCTCGCTTCTTGCCATCCCGGACAGACTACTTCGGCCCAAACCCTCTTCTATCCCCTCCCCCTCCGACAACCGAAATAAAACACCAAAAATTCAAGCAACTCTCTCGTACATCACTAAAACTAACATCTGAATTGTTAACACTTTAGTTTAAATATCAATAACATCAAGACTCAGTAACACCAAGCTTATAGTTTTAAAATGGCTGCTGCTACAAAATCACTCAAGGTTAGTAGTAATATCTATCACTGCTTGCTTGCTATGTGTTGCTGCTGTTCTTACCCAGGTTTACTGACCTAGTAACAATGTAGTGTGTTGTAACTGGAGACGGAGCAGTTGGAAAGGTACATTCACATTCACCCCTTGGCTTCCTACATCACTAGACAATTGTTTCCACATTTTGTCTAACCAGTATGATAGACTTGTTTGCTTATTAGTTATACCACGAATGCCTTCCCTGGGGAGTATATCCCTACTGTGTAAGTCCCGATGTTTACATCTATCTAGTCATCGATTTATATGAATGTCAATTAACTTTCGATATCAGCTTCGATAACTACTCTGCCAACGTTATGGTAGATGGAAAGCCGATCAGTTTGGGTCTTTGGGATACTGCCGGGCAGGAAGATTACGACCGTCTTCGCCCTCTATCATACCCTCAGACAGATGTGTTTCTCGTTTGCTTTTCGATTGTCAGCCCGCCATCATTCGACAACGTTCTGTCAAAGGTCTGTCATTCGTCGGAAGCTTTTGAGATATGCATCATATGCAGGAATGTGGCAAGGATCTAGACTTCTAACATTAATCGTATTTCTAGTGGTTCCCAGAGATTTCCCACCACGCACCCAATATTCCCATAATCCTTGTCGGTACCAAGTTGGATCTTCGTGATGATGCGAAGACAGCACAAGGGCTTCGTGAGAAGCGGATGGCACCAATCTCCTACCCCCAGGGTATGCAGAGAGCTAAGGAGATCAATGCTGTTCGGTACTTGGAGTGCTCAGCGCTCACCCAGAAGGGTTTGAAGAATGTCTTCGATGAGGCTATCAGGTGAGCCCAAATGCAACAATCTGTTCGGAGGGTGATCGTAGACTAACGACATATCTTGTACGCAGAGCTGTCTTGATGCCTGCCCCCAAGAAGAATGTCAAGAAGGGCTGCACCATACTATAGGCGCACATCAGAGATAGAATGAATAGTGATAGTGGTGGTCAGAGGACTAAGGCCGTTTGATATATGAGGGATCTCGAGTCATGAGCGAGCGGACGGGACAGAATTTGCTTGTGGGTTAGCGATTTACAGTTGTTTTTCATCGGTATACGTCCTGGTTGTGGCTATAATTTCCCATGGGCAAAGGTGTTTTTCTTGTTGTTTTTTATGTTGCAGTTTGTTATTTTTTTAGTTTTTTTTTAGCACGACATTCCCTAGCTTGCAGCCATGTGTCGTATCTTTGTTGACCGTCAAATTTGCTTACGGTATGTCTTGTATTTCTCTTTCTTTTATACATTATATTTTTCTTTTTTGCGCAATGTCTTTATGCGTACCTATGAGACAACCCCAGAAAGCTCTGGGTTTCTGCCTTACTATATAAGTTCCAGCGTGATTCTGACTACTCGTGCAATATTGAATATGACATCATACATCCTGCTACCTCACTTGACGTCTCCTACTTGGATGTATCCCAGCCTGACCTTCATTGTCACCCTGTGGCTGCTTCGCCTTTTTCTCCGCCTTGAGCTTTTCCTCCTCCTCGACCTTGCGCTTCCGCTGCTCGTCAAGTTTCTGATTCTTGGTTTCCAGTTTTGTTTTCCGGGCTTCACTCTTTCCACCACCGCCACCGGCACTGTATCCCCGTTAGCTTATGTCGCCGTGAAATGACGAAGGTGTACTTTACGTCAATTCTACATTAATTTTGCGATCTCCCGACCCATCGTTGAAAATTGTGTGGTGAAACTTGAGAAGACAGCTCTGCATACGATCATAACCCTCGAACTCGAGGAATGCGAAACCTTTACATTTTTTCGGGTCATCGCGATGCGTGATTATACGAACGGATTTCGGTTGGACGGCGGCAAAATGCTTTTCCAGTGCAGCCTTTGTGGTCGTGAATGGGAGATTTCCTTGTGAAATTTAGTGAGGGAGCCTTGGAAGGTGCATTGGATCGGTATACCAATGAATACGATAAACCGAGGCTCCTTCTTCGCAACGGCCTCCGCCTCTACTTGTTCTACTTCTTCGTCCACCCCTTCTTCTTCCTCCTCTGGGTTTTCCTCTGCTGCTTTCGCTTTTGCTCTCTTATTTTTCGGTAGTCTGGGCTTCTTTCCTCCTGCTCCTACAGCTGTTTCCGCAGCTGTGCATTGATCTGCCTTCCGTTTGGTTAAGACAGGCTTTCCCTGGGGTTTGGGCTGCTGTTTCTTCTGTGGCTCTGACTCCTCTACCGACTTCTTGGGCTGCTGCTCCTGGTGTTCCTTCGCTGCTTTCGAATCCTCATCCTCCGACTCTGCGCCTGCGGTGGCCTCGGCGAGTTTGCGTTTCTTGAGGCGCACCTGCTTACGTGGGCGCTGTTTTTTGGCCGGCGCTGCTGTTGGCGCAGTGGAAGTTGAGAGTGTCATTGTGAGTTTGGTTGATTCTGTCTTTACTTTGCTAAGGTTCAACTAAAGTAAGATTTCGATATTCAGAAGAAAAAGTTAGGTTGCCAAGCTTTCAACCGAGAGTTTCGCCAAGTATGAGGCTCGTGTAAGCAGATGCGGAGAATGCCGTTCGACATCTGGGGAATTTGTTTCCAGGGTCAATGTTGGCGGTGATTACCGAGGACCGACCAACTGGCCGTTCTTGCTTCCCCTCACCGTGTGCTTCTACGATTAGGCACGGGGGAAATCTCACTCCCGGGAATTGGAATCATGCATGAGGATTTTTCTTTTCCTGAGTAACGTTAAATAACGGCGCGGTATTGATGCTACATGTAGGACGGCTAACTACTTGTGTCGCAGGGCCTGGGAGATTCAGGATACTGCTGCACGAGGCTGACGTTGGATCATCTCTTGGGTCGGAAGTCAATGCCTTGACGGCTAGGTAGTGAGCGAGTGATCGAGTGTGTACCACATAGGTACAGGAGCATCCGGAGAGTACGGTATTCAGGCAAAAAGATACTCTATGAATGCAAACAGGTCTGAGATTCTAGAGCATGCCGGTCCACTGAAGCCTAAGAACGATCGCGTCAAGTAGGGTACCGAGCCTTATAAAATACCAATCGAGACGCCTCATGCAGTTCTTGGCCCCGAATACACCAGTTCATTATTGGATCTATCAGCTTCTAGAATACCGGGTGAAGCTTCGCAGCGGGACAAATGTACCTACATAGCTTAAACTCATCTCACTACGACAGGATGAGTTTGGACCTAGTCTCTAATTTGAGGCATCAGATCAATGGTCCCAAACCATATTGCTGGAAATAGTGTGTTTCTAATTCTCTGATTTCCATGATACTATCATTATAAGAGAGATTCGACTCGGGCAACAACGCTGCTGGTTTGCAAATGGTGGTAATGAACCCAATGAACATGAAACGATTCCAGGTGTCTCAGGCGTAGGCACGTAGCCGGCGGTCATTGCTACCAACAGAGCATAATGCGGGCACTTTGGCTAATTTTAATCGTGCCGAGCATGCTCCCAAGCCCAATAGCCTTCGAATTCAGAACCTTCTGATGTTCTGGCGTACAGCGTCATTTACTTATGGCC